ATAATATTTCACAAGATTTAGGTTAATCCTAAATCAATATACTATTATCAAGGTATGAAACACAATCTTACCTCAGTCATATTACATTCTGCCAGATCAAAAGTTTCATCAGGATTATCTTTAGCCTATATAAAAAAAAAAATCTCATTAAAGGGTTTCTTGCAAATCCAGTTACTAAATTAAATGGCAGCATATTTAAAATATGAGAAATCAGTTGATAACAAAACAAAACAGAATATTCATAGTTAACTCTATGGTACTTAGATGGGTGTATTCTGCCTTTTCAATGCTTTTTTTAATAGTTATAAATATTCAAGTCTGGACATGTGGCTTAGAAAACTATTTTGAAAGCTATGGAAAGGTGCGAGAGGCTTTCTGCTGGATTTGACAAACTTATTGATGTTTCAGCAAATTGGTAATATAAGAAGTACAAATTTTATATTATTATTTGTTATAATGTATGATTTGTGTTTCTAACTAGTTGGATACTCTGAGAGCCATATTAGGGAAAATATTAGATCTATAAGGGAAGAATACTGAGAGCAAACAGATGTCACATGACAGAGAAATGAAAACTGAGCATATTTTAAATATTCCCTTTTGAGATTAAGAAGTTAAAACTTAGGTAGTATAGGAATTGGGATCATAAACTAAATTTTAATGCCAAGTTTAATAACGTACATTGATAATAAAATTGTTTAATTCAATTTAAAATATAACTAAAAGATTGTGATGCACAAACTTTAATCAAGCCATGTACATAGGATTAATGATCTTAAAATCAAGAGCCAGAAATCCCATACAAGTATTTCTGACATATGCATAAGCTAAATTGACAACAAATGTTCATCTATACATAACTTTGTCTCAAGAAGGACTAACAATATCAAATTATATGCAAATATTAACAAGAATAATTCTATCAAATATGGTGAAATTAAGTCCCTAGAAAAAAAAGTGGGCGATATGGTTTTGATAACACAAGATATTGTTTGCAGAGAATATGAATAATTTCCAAATATCAATGTATGATTTTCAGATTACTTGTAAATATTCAGTGTTTATAAAAACGTTATTTAAGTTCTACAAAATGCACTGAGAACTACAAAAGTTAATTTTAAGCATCTACAATTTTACAACATAACTCTTAAGAAATCAACTTTATTTTCTTATCATTACTTTTTATTTAGATATCAATATAATATGAATCACTTATATCACAATTAGTTCAAGATATTAAAGTCTTGTGCAAAGTTGAAAATATATTTATGAATTTATTAATAAATTAGGAGTTAAAAACTGGATTTGAGGATGTCTTCACCTGATTTCAGTATATTTTCAACATTTTATATACCCAGTCAATTTCTCACATATATGTATAAACCAAGTCCTCCATAGAATTTCAGAACTGGGGGTGAAATATCATTGAGTGACAAATCCTGAGAGTAGAGATTTGAAATATTTAAAACAAGTTTGTGTGATAATTATATAATAATTACATGTCTACATCCTTTAGTTTAATAATCAGGTTGATCTGATTACCATTCATCTTAAAAAGTGTAACAACAGCTCATGAATGATTACTGACTGCATTAAAATCAAGCTGTTTGATAATCTGACTAAAGTCATGTTTTTTCATTTTAAACTGTGTGGATATAAAGGCCAGATTAATTAGATACCACCAATTAATACATCACCTCCTTGACAGCTCACCCATAACCTTCTAAATAAATCTGGTAACACTCTTCATTTCCTTGATAGTTTCACAATGAGGGTTTCTCCACTTACAACAAATAATATGACATCCATGAGATCAGCTTCTCTTTACACGGGTTAAAGCAATTTGTAATGTAATATACACTACATACCTTTACCTAACACTTGCTTCAAAATGTAACAGCATTAGAACATGAAAATTAATGCAAATTATTTTTTTTTTTTACACAACATGTTTCCATGTATTAACATACCAATGTGATGTGATTTTTTGCATTAACTCAGAAATATTAGTGTGAAATAGCCATGGTTCCAGATTATCAAGAACCATCTGTGTGTGTCTATTTATATATATTTAAATTTTAATAAACCTAACAAAAATTATTTCTTTGTTGATTACATCTATATTCAAATTAATCATGATGTATTCCTCGTTGCCAGTGGCAGTTGCTATTTAAAAAGAAAAGAAAACCTCTATTTTAGGATATTTACTATTTTTAAAATTAACAGCAATCTTTTAAAAGTTAGAGATACACATACACAAACATATATACTTCAATTATAGCTGAACAATTAGCAAAATTTGCTAATTTATTAATCAATTACATTAAACTAATAAATTATTTTCATGAGATGACTAAAAAAGCATAGATTATTCTCGTAAGGTGACTAGAAATGAAGAAAAAACTATAATGTTATAAAACAAGTTTTGACAGCCTAGTCTGTAGCTTTGTTTTACGAATATAACAGCAATATTTCAATTATCTAGGTAATTGGAATAATCAATAACAGTAATAATCACAAACCCTAATTTCAATTAGTTGATATGTGACTAATGACACAAATCAATCAAGCTGACCAAACTTAAACTAATCAAAAATTATAATGGAAATATTCTGATTACTGTATGGTTGGAACAATCAAAAACACTAACAATTGGAAACAGTAACTTCTATTTGTTGATTATTTTTGTGACATTAATTGATTTAATCATAATATTGATTGAAATAAAACATTAGTTTTAGGCCTATTACATTTTTAAACACTATATTCTTTATGTAGTCCCTTAAGGATTTTCAAAAAGAGTGTATATTAATTGTATTCCAACTACACTACGTTTGTTACATCCATTGCCGATGATGTATTTCACTCAATGCCGAGCTCTTCATAAAATGTGTACCAAGTATAGAACAGCTATACAAATATAAAATTGATGAAATTTTTAAATACATTTTTTTATTTATATTTCTCCATCAACAGAAATTGTTCTATTGCAAAAAAGTATGACTAATATAACAAATGAAGTGGATTATTCCAAACCTTCCAAGTCATAATTCTTTAATTAATATATTAACAATTTGAAACGTTCCCTGTGTGGGCAAAAAATGTGCAATAACATAAAATGCTTTCATTAATAAACAAACTAATTTATAAGTTTTGGTATATCTTTCAAGAAACTAAATGTTGTGTTATAAATAAAATGACAATCTTTAATCCTAGTTTTTAACATTACTAATGCACTGAATGAGAAGAATACCTAGTTTTATATAAGTACTTAACTGATAGTTTTACATTGTGCAAGCTAACAATAATATGCATTTTATATGATTATATTTTTAAATGACTTACATAAATGTTGTAACTTTATTTCTTTTTTTTTTTTTTTTTTTACAGGTCCACATAATAACAATAATTTATAAAAGAAGTAAAGTTATAACATAAATGTTGTAGCTTTACTTCTTTTAGTAATTATTATTATGTTCACCTGGAAAAAAATAAAATTTCCTCCAATATTTATAATACAAATGTTGTTCCTACATGTATATAGTTTGTCAATTTTATGTGCATAACATAAATTTCCTCCAATATTTATAGCATAAATGTTGTTCCTACATGTATATAGTTTGTCAATTTTATGTGCATAACATAAATGTCCTCCAATATTTATAACATAAATGTTGTTTCTACATGTATATAGTTTGTCAATTTTATGTGCATAACATAAATGTCCTCCAATATTTATAACATAAATGTTGTTTCTACATGTATATAGTTTGTCAATTTTATGTGCATAACAATAAAAATGGAAAATTTTCTGAATAGACTATATAAAATTATAAACAGACAACTTTTATTTGTCTTTTTGTTTCTTGTTTCTTTTAGTTAATTCATGCAATAAGTTCACTTTCATTGGTCATAACTAAAGGAACACGGATGGACCATACACTCCCGATTGGGAAAGCCAACTAAAAAAATGAAATTCCTCAAGCAAAGTTTAATTCCTCTGGAATGCAGAAATGTAATACTTCTATCATTGACATAAAAAAAATAATCATATATTGATACAGGATATAGGATCTTCTGAAAACAAAAAAAACTGTAAAAAGAGGAAAGGAAAAAGCAAACTTCTTACCTATGACACGTAGTAACATTTAGTCTTCTTCAAATAATTCAACACTGTTTATTTGATATACAGTAGCTATTCAACTAGTTTTATGTCTGTTCAATTTGTGTTCTCTTTTGTTTAAATTTTATTGAGAAAATTATAGTATTAATGATTTTTACTTCATAATCAACCTATTAACCCTTTCACAACAGGTGGGTCTAACTGCACGTCATGGTCTTTTAGCAATTTATTTTCATAACTTTATAAAGTAACTTTATTATTACTATACATCAATGAAACTGGCATCAAAATGTTGCTTATATTTCAAATTTTAATATTATGTATGTTTTAATTTCTTAATTCAAAGGAAAATATAAATAAAATAAAGCTAAATATCAATTTGTGTGTGTCACATAGCACTTCCTCATGTCTTGTTACTCAGTTTATACTTTCTTACGCCTACTATATACATGGTTAACAAATTAGAAGCATTAATTTTAGATACTGACAAGCTAGAATATAAACTTAGAACCTCCCACCACTTTGATTTGCTGGGAAATCAATGTATCTAGTAAATCAACTAGTGGCACCTCCCCCTACTCCATTCTTTCCAAACCACTTGTTTAGTTCCACCTACTTTTCTTAAGGGTCTGTTTATAATCAACAGAAAGGACAAGTTGTGCTTTACGTGATTCTGACAGTTGTTTGTAAAGAGCTTGGAATAGAAAATAATAATTTTGCCAAGAATGTTGAATAGTGATGACCAAGTTTTTGCTTGGAACAGAGATAATTTTTAAACACATATATTCTTTATTTATAAACCCAAGCAAGTAACAGATGTTATGGGTGTACTAGCAGAGTAAAGTATTATTTTTTTCTTTCTAAGATGTATGTTTGAAGACTACAAAAATTATATTTCTTCACCCTCTACTTGAAGAAGAAGAGAGAAGAAGAAGAAAGAAAAAAAAAAAAAAAAAAAAAAAAAAAAAAACGAAGGCTTAGCACTAAAGGCACATGAGAGGA